CCTAGGTTTCTAAGTTTATGTATATTGATGGAATTTGTTTATGCGAGTTTTAAATTATTGAAATAAATGTTTTAAAACACATTTACAACAATTTTAAATGATTTAATAAAGCTGGAATTTTTTATATATAAGCTATAATTATGTTTCTTGAAAGGATTTTTAATTACCCATTAATTGGGAATAAAAGTAAGGGTTTTAAATTAAATTTTAGCTTATTTTAGAGGGTTTATGAGTGATTTAAAGAGTGTATATATTGTTGGAAATTTGTGTGGAATAGGTAATAATGCCTCTTTGTAATTTTGGTTTGTAGGAGGTTTCCAAGTGAGTGATTTTATTTAGTCATGACGATTTTGAGATCATATTTAAGGTACGTTCGCATACTTAGTAATTAATTGAGTATGTAGAAGCATGCTAGGTTTTGATTAATTACTTCCAAGGTAGTATCATGATAGGTATTGATTGGAATTGTTGTATGGATTGATGTTGGTGAATGAATTGTGAAGTATGAACTATTTGTGGAGAATTGAAGATTGGAATGAATTATATTAGCATGTTGAATATGAACTATACTTTTATTTTGGCATGATTGAGAGCATGTTTAATTAAACTAATTGTTTAATTTGGTTTGGAATATTGAAAAGGAATTTTATTATGGTTCAAATAATTTTTATTGATGCTTTAAGCACGCATGGGAATTGAGCTATCAAGTTTCTTAGTATACAGAAATAAATTATATTGCGGTGCCTATGTGCACTTAAGGTGTTTCTAACACCGAATGATAGGATTTGGGCGCATTATGCGTTTAAGGTGTCTTTGACACCGAGGTAGATTAAAAAGGATTCAACAATACATTTATGTGGTCACTAATTATTCAAGAATTAAATTGGTATGTTTGATTACTTGAATGAATTATAATGTTTGATTGTGTTATAATTGAGAGTCATCACCAAGTCTAATAATACGTAAATAACGTAAAGTGAAAGAGATTATACACCAAAACTCGTGGAACGTATATACCTCGAGTATGAACATATGGGGGGAGTTATGCGACTTTATATTTGATCATAACTTCTACTGGGATGGAGTACAGGACGCTGTATATTCCTTATTATTATACGTAGGATTTCTGCCACTTACGAGTGGTTCTTTTATAATGGCACGGTTAGCTCCCGTGTTAGTACCCCTTTATTGGGGCAGGTTAGGGAAAACCCGTTCGATACGTAATCAAATTAAATGGACATTGATATTTTTCTAGTTAAGTGTTGAATGTCTTGTATGCTTGTTTACAAGTGCAACAAGGTAAGTTGTGTGATCATAGGATGAAAGCATGATAGTGTGTTTTATTACGCTTATGTACTCAGCATTGCTGATTGTGTGTTGTATGTTTGTTTGGCCTTGTCTTTACCTTAACCCTACGACAACCCATTTCTAATGGCGAGTAGTGGGGACAAGTAGAGAGAAGTTTTTCAGGTGATGAAGCATTTTCATGATGGGCATGAATGAAGAGCGAATCATGCTTAGTTTCCATAGAAATATGATGTGTTTTAATTGCTTTGAATATTAATTATTTTATTAAGCTCATGAGACTAACGTGAAGGTTTTCAGTATTGTTTGGTTTTAAGGGCCTTCAATGGTTCCAAGTTGTAGGTTGACTTTGTTTTACTTTACTTTCTTTTGGTTTGACTTTTTAAGTTGACTTGTTTTGAATGGTTTTAAAGATAGTCTTTCGCTTTGTGTCTTTGATATTTGCCTTAGCCATTTTCACGGTGGCGGTAATATCTTAGATTTTTCCTATTTCGTATTTAAAAAAGGGCAAAACAGGTATTTTAGAGGGAAGGAATTTCTAGGGTGTTACAGTCAGGGGTTACTCGGTCAGTGTTTGGGTGTGTCTCAGCCGACTACACGATATGACCAGCCACACAAAAAACGCGCTGATTTTATTTATATAATTAATATAAATTTTATTATCTCACTACTACATTTTTTATCTATTACAACCCCCAAATCCGTTGCATTAGGCGTCAAAATCCGTGGCATTAGGCCTAATGTAACGGCCATGTACCGTGGCATCTGCTGGCGTTGCAGTAGGTCTATTGCAACGGCATATGACACCTAATTCCACGGCATCGATGATCCGTGGCATTAGACCAATACCTGTTGCAACGGCACAAATTATCCGTGGCAATAGAGTACTGACTAATAATTATGATGAAATTGACACCAAATGCAACGGATGAAGCTAATTAATACAATGATAGGAGTACGTATCTACTGCAACGGATTGATCATTTTTTTTGTTGGGATGGAATGATAATATAATATATGTATAATTAGTCACTACAAATCTAAATATACTAACAGAAACAAAGTATCATTTATATATAATAATTATAATGCGAAATACGTACATTACAAAATATTACTTGCTTGTTTTTGGTATGACATACCCTACTAATAAAAAATAAAAGTTATATAATTAATTAGTCGTCCAAAATACAAATTGTCAACATATATATAAGCCGGAATTTCCAAATCTTCACAAAGCCGGAACTTGAATAAGAGTCGCCAACATATATGCACCATTTTGTTAGATGACTAGTGACTATACTTCAGCTCCATTTAGCTTTCCAAGCACCTACACGTAAAATTGAAAAAAAATAATAGAAATATAATTGAACTAAATTATAAATTATAATATACCAAGGCCACAATCAACATGAGAAAAGTTCAAAACACACAGATGATGGTTACAGTCAAGGTGTTCTCAAAGACCGAGGCCCCTAAGCAATTTAGCACTGAGATTCGTAATTAGGCAACCAAATAGAGAATCATGCTCTCTTGATATCATTTATGCTGTATGATATGATAGCTAAAGCCTTAAGAAATGTTTTGGCACAAATTGAAGTGCTTGGTCGAATTTCTCACAAGAACTTGGTTTCTCTCGTTGGATACTGTGAAGAAGGAACCAACTTGGCACTTATTTACGAGTTCATGGCCATCAGATCACTCAGTATATTAAAATTTGTTGTGTAACTCTATATGTAGGACTGGATTACTTGCATCATGGTTGCAGCCCGTCTATAGTTCATAGAGATGTGAAACCCGCTAACATTCTTCTAAACAAAAAATTTCGAGCAAAGGTGGCTGATTTTGAGTTTTCCAAAATCTTCCCAGCTGAATATGTTTCAAATTTACAAACAAGGGTTGTTAGAACACTAGGCTATCTTGATCCTCAGTAAGTGAGCCATTTCAGTCATTCAATTCATACATGACTATCTTACATATTCTAACACTATTTTACCAAAGTAATACATTGCACACTACTAATTGAAGTGGGCTAAAACTTTTATACCACAATGATTATTACATGTATAATTTAATAGGACAGGTGCATGAAAAAGGCAATGTTTACAGCTTTAGGGTTGTTCTGTTGGAGCTAATCACAGGGAAAACAACAATAGTAAACAGAGTCATGAACTTGGGTCAATGGGTTAGGAGCATGCTTAAAAGAGGGGATATAGCCAGCATACTAGACCAAAACCTGAGACACGATGTAGATGACAACTATCTCACTATGTGGAAAGCAGTAGAACTAGCAGTGAGATGTATTCAGCTAGAAATTGCAGATAGGCTAACAATGAATCAAATTGTGACAGAAATCAAAGAGTGTTTGAATATGATGAACACAGAAAGTTCTAGTTCAGCTAAAGACCCTCTAGAGATGATGAACGCAGCTATTTCAAGTAGTATGATGAACACATAAAGTACAAGTAGTAACTCAAGAATCTAACTTAATGAGATGCAGCAGGCTATAAAAAGCATGAACTCAGCAACAAAAACATACAACAATAAAAAGCAGCAGCAAACAACTAAATCACCAACCATATAAAGAAAAAAAAACAAATGCAATAAAGCAATAGTGAGCATCAGAAAAAGACATCAACAACAGCAACATTTCAACAATAGGTTCAGGTCAACAGCAAACAACAAAAGCTAGAGAGAAGCAATAGAAAATATTTTATTTGACCTGATTAATTGTGGCACCAGATTTAGAAGATTGCCCATTTTGGTCAACAGGAAGATGTGGCGCACTAGATGCATCCTTTGGAGCCGATGGAATTGCAAAATCAGGAATGACAAGATTGATACCAGGGTTAGCATCCCGAAGTTGAGTCAACATTGCAGTTGTTACACTTGGTGCAAGTTGTTGTACTAATTGAGATTGCATACTTTCTAAAAATTCTGTCGGGAATATGAAATCTGACTTTTTATCTTTTTTCTTCAAATCCGACTTTTTTTACACCTTTTCCTTGTAGGCGTACACGGATTTTGCGCTTAGGATCTGGAATCACTTCGGAGTAAGGGTCCTTAGAGTTACTACCATCTCGATCTTCATGTTGGGAAGACTCCAAAGCATCCATTTTAGCCTATTTAGGGAAATAAAGTCACCTACTTATTATTTATCAAAGTTAATTAAATATAACATACATCTAAAATGTTAACTCACAATATTCTCTTCTATTTTTTCATGGTTGGTAAGATATTATATTTCCTTCCCACCGTTCTTTTTCTTGACTCCTTATAGACCCTTGCTTGAGAAGGTTCTTGCTTATCAGGATCCTGTTGTTGCTGTGGAAACATAAATACATAAAATTGAAGTGATTATTACAAATAATTAAAGGACAGAGGTGAAAGCCTCATGTAGTACATGTAGTGATTGTAAAATAAAGATTATAAAGTTAATAAAATTGCCTAGAAATGAGATGAATTATTTACCAACTTATGGCGTAAAATTGCGTAAGAGTTACGGCCCATAGTGTGCATATCATCTAACATTAGGCGATTGTCTTTGTTGATGTTACTGATTTCCTATGTGAAAACACAATCAAGATTTATTAATTTGAACCACGTAAAATATTGAATAAGTATGTACTTTCTAATATCAATACAATAGGAAAGATGATAGCAAAAATCATGTAAATAGTCTATATCAAGCCTCATAACCCAAGCAAGACATAATCTATATCAGGCTATGAAAGTAAATAGTAGCACAAACATGATTATATTAAAAACAGCTCCTGAAAACAAAGGCGATCATAAAAACAATAAACTGAAATAGTGACTTTTTTTGTCATGAAACTAAGTCAATATTGCACAAAAACAGCTCAAAACCATATACATAATACATCAGCCTCTTTAGAATGCCAGTATTGCAAAAGCTCTCTAAATTGAGGTTCTAAAATTGTGTCTGGCTTATGAAACAATCGTAAAGCATCAGTGGGATATGCAGAGAAATATTTCTTCTTAGTAAAGCATTTATGAGCTTTCCAGCTTCCATTGATAGCCTGCATCACCCATTATCTTCCAGCTTCAGGAACCATATATTTTTCATAAACAAATCATGAAAATAAAACATTAGTATGTAACATGTATGTAGCATATGGAGGTCCAATTATTAACGAGGAATTAATTATGTAGAAAATGAAATCCAACAAAATGAATTATATTACTGCGTACTTGGACATACTCCCACATTTTGTCAAGTGTGGGTAGACTTGGAAAGTTAATATAATTTAGTGGTGCAAGTTCAGAATCCCTTGCCACAGTACCCAAGAATTGCTTGAACTCCTGAACAATTTCCCGTGAAACAATAACTTCACACTCGTCTCTTGTTCGTGCATGAACCTTGGGTAGAATTGTTGGACCTCGATGCCTTTTTCTGTTAGGAGCTTTTTCAGGTTCTGTTTCTGTGTACACATTTGTAAGAAACATGTTACAAGATAGAGGTTGCAAATACATCAACTAAATACTATTGTAACGAAAATGCAAACTGAATGAGGAGGTTCTTGGACAAACTGAATGAATTGGTGCCAGTTAAATAATAATAGGGTAGTAAGCTGCAGATATAGTTATTCGATGTTTTTGGCCTGTTTTTTTCGTTGAGAAGGTGTCAGGGTTGCTTTTTTTTTTTGTGTTTTTGAAAATCTATTTTGTGGAACAGGCTCCTACTCAATCTATCACAACTTTTTCATCTAATTCAGAGCCTTCTAGTGATAAAATCCCTGCTAGAGATGATAATGATACAAAGCATAGAACATCAGACGTATTAGAGGAAGACGGGGAAGAGGTTGAAAAAAACTGCAATATTTCCCTGAAGACTCATACCAAGAAGTCATCTAACAAGAAGTCACCTGACAAGAAGACAACTAAGAAACGATTGAAAGCTGGTGATGAAACAACTGCCAAAAGGATTAAAATAGAAAAAAGAGGTCTGTAAAACCCCCTAGTAGCTCCCATTATTGCTTTGCATTTGAGATGCAGTAATGGCTCTCTTATGCTTCTTCATCTTCAGGCAGGCTCTGTGAAGTTTGCTTATTTGCTCGCCTCTGATACAAATTTGTGTACTATTATTTAACAGGTACCAATTCATTCAGTTTGTGATATGTCATCAGATTACTGCTAACTTACGCAAATAACAGTAAAACCATAGTATGTTCTAAAGAAATTTAAGATTCACAGTAAAACCATAGTATCATATATGCATAATGTAACAGACTAATGAATAATATGATTAATTATTAAATAAAGCCATTTTGATAATTCCGAAAAAACTTGAAATCATCTCATTAGTCAATTAACCAAAATTCAGATAACACAAATTCAATTCAAGGGCAGCCAAATAACCAAATCTTTAGCAGAAAATTCAAAAAAAAATCCCCATGTAGATGGAAAACACATAAAACATGAGGAAAAAGGAAAGGAAAAACAGGAGGAAAAAAGAAAGGAAAAACAACTAAGGGATTGAACAAGAAGGAGCGGTAGCTAGGAAGGAAGTAAGAGAAAAACAATACCTTGCATTCCTTCCCTTCCATAGTTAGATAAAACTTCATCTTCTAATTCTTGATCACCCTCATATTCATCACCAACATCATCATCATTCTCATTTAGGGCATCCGCTTCATCATTCTCACTTAGTGCATCCGCATCATCATTATCATCCTCATTAAATGCAGCGCCACAAATCCTAGTGTTTCTTGTAAGAGAATCATTCAACGACTGATTACTTGCTACAAACGCTTCATTATTTTCTTTTTGCTTTTTCCGGAACTCGAGGTACGCTGACATGAAACCAGGAGAACAGAACGCTCGTTTTGATCCCTTCTTTTCTGAGATAACTTGCTCCTTCTTTTGGATGCATTGATCTTGAACTCTAGAAACCTTAAGTGAGAGAATGTTCTGAACTTCATCAACTGCATGCTTCTTACGGCTATTCACTTCCACAACATCAGCCATAGTTTTGGGGCGAAGTGATGATTTATTTACTTGCTTTGAAACCTATAAAACAAAAGGAAAATAAAGCATTACTAATTACATGTAAACCGTGACAAACAATAAAAACAGTCTGTATAAATGAAAAAATAGAAGTACACACCTGTTTATTGGCTTTTCTTTTTCCAGAAGTGAGATTGTCAGCCATAATGTTATCAGTTTCAACCTCATTTTCACCATCATATTCTGACGTAGAGTCATCATCCTCATTTTTTGGTGTACTATTCTGCATTGCACTTGGACAAAATAAGGCTTTTGTTTTGTCTTAAAGTATCTTATTAGCAAGAGATGCCGATCTTAGGGCTTCCATTCTTTCTGCATTGCATTTTAGTTTTTGAAGCCGTTGCAGCCCATATTCTGTAAGATGATTTTTGGAAGCAACAACTTTGGGTCTACTCCGTTTCATCTGGAAAAAAAATGGAAGTATGTTAATTTTGTATGTAAATACAATAAACTGAAACGAATTGCAATGTAAAATAAGCTCATTTATAACATATAGTGAAGTATTAAAAAAATGTATGTTAATACCATCTGAAAACTCTCTAGGAGGGATTTGAATAGCATAATACCACCCTTCTCTATTCAAATCTTCTACATAAAACACTTGATGTGCTTGATTTGCTAAGATAAAAGGTTCCTCTTTAGAAACGGTCTTATTCATATTAACCGTAATGAGCTCATCAACATCCTTTTCTGAGTGAAACCATTGACATCTAAATAAGACAACACTGAAATGACCATGACAGGATATCTCAATGATTTCAGTTATTGAACCAAAATAATTTACATTTCCCACAACAGGATTTTGATCTTTGGAGCTTGCAAAGCTATGTGTAGTGGTTGTTAGAGTGACACCACTGTTTTGAGTTACGCAGTTTGCATCTCGCTTCATGGTATGAAACCTATAGCCGTTAACTGAGTACCTTGTGTGCTTTTTGGCAACATGAGAGGGACCTTTTGATAACCACAAAATATGGTCCTGGATATTATCATGGCCTTCTTTAAGAATCAAATCAACTTTCTCCCTAAACCAATCCATGAAATCCTTGCTATGGTCTTGATCACTTTTCCATTTTCTTTTCCTTTTAGCACTTACACAAATCTTATGCTCACTGTAAAAATAAAATATTTATCTTACTAAGGCGACAGAATTTAGTATATATTACAACAACAACGACAATAATAATAATAATAATAATAATAATAATAAATAATAATAATAATAATAATAATAATAATAAACCTATGTTATGGTTACAAATCTTACCTTATATATTTCTCAACTTCTTCACAATCACAATTGAACAAGACATAATAACGATGCGCTTGTGCCCATGTAATGCGATCAATTATGTGTCTACGATTTTTTTTCTTTGAGGTCCTTCCTTTTCCTTTGATAGGACGTCCTACCTTAGGGAAAAATGATTTTGAGGTACCAAACTCATTAACTTCAGGTATGGCTTTGCTTGATCGTTTCAAAAATCTAGCTATGAAAGCAACACATTCTTTAACTTGGTATCCTTCTGCCATTGAGCCTTCTGGGCGAGCCTTGTTTCGAACATCTTGTATCATTTCATGAAGATTCATCTCAATTCCATACATACGCCTTGAACTCACAGGTCCACCCAACTTAATTTGATCTACTAAGTGTATGGGTAAATGTTCCATTATATTAAAAAAAAGCAGGTGGAAAAATCCACTCAAGTAGGCATAGAGTTTCAACTATCTCGGATTGCAATTTTCCAAGACCTCGAGGATCAATAGTTTTACTCCATATACCTTTGAAAAAAGCACAAAGTCTTATCAAAGGACTAGCAACATCTTTGGGTAATGTTGTCTTCACATCAATTGGAAGAAGATAATTCATCATTAAATGAGCATCGTGGCTTTTGTAGCCTGCTATTTTCCTTTCTCCAACTTGCACACAACGACTAAGGTTAGAAGCATAACCTTGAGGAAGCTTAGAATTTTTTATAACCTGGCAAAACTTACGCTTTTGCTCCAATGACATCCAAAAGCGAGATCTTGGAAATTCTTCACTACCATCTTCCAATTCTATTGGTTGGAGCTCTAGCATCAGATTAAGTTCTACCAAATCTCGACAAGCACTCACATTATCCTTGGTCTTCTAAGAAATGTCTAATAACGTCGCAATGACATTATCAAATACATCTTTCTCAATATGCATTACATCAAGATTATGGCGATTAGAGCAATGCTTCCAATATGGCAACTCAAAAAATATGGGTTTCTTTCTCCACGGAGTCGGATCATCCACATCACGCCTTGATTTCTTTTGCATCTTTCCTAATGCATTTGGAAAATCACGCAACATATTCTCAACATCAATTCCATTCAATGGAATAGGTTGACATCTTTCCTCAAGTTTTCCGTCAAAATTCCTCTTATCATGACAACAAGGGTGAGATGGATCCAAAAATTTACGATTTGACCTATACACATTCTTACCACTACAAGGCAACCACTCGGAATCTGTTTCGTAATGACATTCAAGGCATGCCAAGTATCCTTTTGTGCTCCACCCAGACAACATTGCATAACCTGGAAAATCACTCACGGTAGTCATCAATGATACATGCATGTTAAACCTTTGATTAGTCAAAGCATCATAAGTTTCCAACCCAAACTCCCACAAATCCTTTAAGTCCTTGATAAGTGGCTGCAAATATATGTCAATGTCATTGCCAGGGGAAGACGAACCGGGAATTAGTAAGGCTAGCATCAGATACTCGGGCTTCATAATCATCCAAGGAGGCAAGTTATAATTAATCAACATAACTAGCCATGTACTATGGACAATGCTCATTGAGTTGAACGGGCCTCTTATCATGACGCCAAGGGTGAGATGGATCCAAAAATTTACGATTTGACCTATACACATTCTTACCACTATAAGGCAACCACTCGGAATCTGTTTCGTAATAACATTCAGGGCATGCCAAGTATCCTTTTGTGCTCCACCCAGACAACATTGCATAACCTGGAAAATCACTCACGGTAGTCATTAATGATACATGCATGTCAAACCTTTGATTAGTCAAAGCATCATAAGTTTCCAACCCAAACTCCCACAAATCCCTTAAGTCCTTGATAAGTGGCTGCAAATATATGTCAATGTCATTGCCAGGGGAAGACGAACCGGGAATTAGTAAGGCTAGCATCAGATACTCGGGCTTCATAATCATCCAAGGAGGCAAGTTATAATTAATCAACATAACTGGCCATGTACTATGGACAATGCTCATTGAGTTGAATGGGCCAAATCCATCTGTGGCTAACCCAAGCCTCACATTGCGTGGGTCATCAGCAAACTTTGGATATAAAGAATCAAATTCCTTCCAAGCTTGACCATCAACTAGATGATGTAAAAGATGATCATTTTCACGCCCATTAGCATGCCAAGTCATATATCTTGTCGTCTCTTGACACATAAATAGTCGTTGAATCCTTTTCTTTATTAGAAAGTACCTAAGAATCTTTTGAGGAATCCTATACATCTTTCCATTTTCATTCTGTATGTCATTCTATGTGTCAGTTGATTTCCATCTTGGCGTCTCACAAACATGGCAGCTTTTTGCAATTTTAATGCTCTTCCCAGTATATCATGCAATCATTTGGGCATGCATCTATCTTAGTGTAATCCAACCCAAACACTTTCAAAACACCTTTTGCTTTATTAAAAGAAGCTGGCAGTTTTGCATCAGGTAACGCCTCCATTATAAGCTCCAATATATCTCCAAAAGCAGCATTAGTTAGCTAATGATCACACTTCAAAATAAAAAGTCGGATCATGAAGGAAAGTTTTGAATGATTTTTACAACCGACATACAATTCTTCCTCGCCCTCTTCAACTAACTTAAAAAACTTTTTTGCCTCGTCATTTGGCCCATTTGTAAAAGCATCACGTGCATCATGCAACAACCCTAATATGTCATCATTAAAATCATTTGGGTTTGACCCTTCATCATAATCCAAAATAGTTTGTTCCCTTTCAATGCTAATGTTGATCCCTAACTCTGATAATTTATCCGTTCGAGGAACAAAACCATTACAAATAAGGTGATCTCTCATAACACTTTCATGATGCCAAAAATGATAATGACAACTTTCACAAGGAAAACAAATTTGATTTCCTTGAGACTTAAAAGCAAAAGCCTTTTGTACATATTCATCTACTCCCCGCTCATATTTATCACTCCATTTGGCAAACATCCACCACTCTTTAGTTCCACTATCCATACTTTAGGATAAGAATTAAGAGGGTTACTTTAATTAATTTTTACTGTAAAAACATTTAATCAATTCACAAAGAATTAAGAGAGTTACTTTAATCAATTAGAAAGAACTGACAATAAAATCTGCTTTACAACCACTAGGAAGAAAGAGAACTACTCTAAAAATCTGAATACTTAAAACTAGTGTATTTCTACTGCCAAGGACAAATTTATCAAGTGTAATAAGCAAGGAGTATCAAAGTTATATTCATACAAATTTATGACCCACTTTACATTAATCTAGTAACAATGAAAAAGTAATGAGATATTAAAAAGAGGCAAGTGTAATTAGCAAGGAAAGTTAAAAAGCATTAAACTGATAATATTAGGGGAGAACCCATATCAAAGTATAATCATTCTTCTAGTATTTTAAGAGCCACCATCAAATAAACAATACAAATCAAGATAAACCATATTTTGCAGAAACTGCTTGCCTTAAATAGAAAACTTAAGAGGCATTTAGGTAATTATGATTTGGTGTAGTAGTTCGATTAATATATAAAAGAGTAGCTAAAACAAAGAGTTCATATACCCTAATTTAGGGACTTCATTTCCATTCTGATAAGGCAGGCAACTTATGGGACAAAAGCTCTCCGGTCTAAACATAGAGGAGCTGCAATCTCTAGAAGAGCAACTAGAAATGAATCTTCGAGGGGTTCGTATGAAAAAGGCAAGAAACTCGTTACTTGAGAGTCTAAGTAGCTAGTTAACTTCAGTTTCAGTATGAAAATTAGTTGTCTTAATTTACTGAACAATGCATCCTACCAATGCAGGAACAAATCCTTACAAATGAGATTCGAGAGCTTAACCACAAGGTCCTTTACAAGATTATTACCTTCCTTTTATATTCTTAACAGAAAAGATGACAACAAAATCTTACTATATATGTTAGTTCTATTACCATTTCCTTTTTAAGGGGGAATATCATTCAGCAGGAAAATATGGAGCTATGCGAAAAGGTAAACCTTATGCGTCAAGAAAACACCGACATGTGTAAGAAGGTACGAGACCCTATGACAATCAAAAGAAAACATGATCTGCATAAGTTACTTGTTCTGTTTCCATTATAATTTGTACAGACTTATATGAGATAGATTGTTGGCTTGTCTAAGCTAATCAGCTTATTACCTTTCCCAGCTCTATAGTATGGGAAACGCGACTGAAGTCAGCAGCAATTCCTTGATGCTTGGGTATTCAGACCCTTCTCATGCGAATTACGTATTCAGACCCAGCCTTCTAAGCCTCTTTTAAAGCCCTCAGTGCAGCTATTATTCACACACACATATGCAATGATACACATCTAAAGATTGAATAACAGTAATTTCCAATAATTATTTCTGTTAAATCTAAAGGCTTTGGGTGACTTCTATAACTAAATACTAAATAGGATAGCACATTAGAGTAAAAATGCCTAACCCATCAATGTCAGGATAGTAAAGACTACTAGCCAAATAAGGGTTGACTTGTTTGACATTGCAAAACGAAGGATAGACAAAAACAAGAACAAGTAACTAATGAATGGAGATTTAACCATAAACGGAGGACACATATTACACACCAAATAGACTAGAGTATAGGCAACGAAAAACAAGGAAAACATAAAAATACGTGAAGGACATTTGGATATACTTGAGTAAAAACTATAAATAAAGTTGGCTATATAAATAGTTTCTGACAATTTAGAGATCCAAGTTACTGACTATTACATGAAAGACAAATAAAAACAATGGGACAAAAGAAGCACAATCAATATAGAAAACATAACTTATAATATTCATTAGCCTCTCATAAGCAGCACATCAAAAAAGAACTGCCAGGAAACGCAAAAAACAGAGAGGAAAGTAGACTTAAAGCATAATTACATAAGAATTTCATATATATTGTAAGTAGGAAACAAATACTTGAAATGTATTCTAAAAAGTTTAAAACAGGTTATACTATTTCCCTTTCTTGTTACAAATTTTATTGAAAGTTAGAAGATTGCAAATGGAATTTGGAGACAAATTTGCAACATAAACACACTACGGTGATATCATTAATAATTAGTCTCTGCCTAGCTCAGTTTGCACTTTGCAAAAATAAGTTCTGTAGCTACTACAAACTATTGACGAAAATAAGATTCAAAAACAGCTAACAAAATATGAATTCAAGAAACTAATGTCATCTTCATACAAGATACAACCCATAATTTTCTAAACTTCCCAACAAAAAAGTCATAAACAGCCATAAATGCCCACGACAAGTTTTCCACTGTATCTGACTACACTATTTACACTATGGATTTTCTGCACGGATATACCCCAATGACCTTACAGCAAAAGCTATGGCGTGGAGACGCTAGAAAATAGTAATACAATTACGAGGGCCTCGATATAATTTCAGATATATTGTAAGTAGGAAACAAATACTTGAAATGTATTCTAAAAAGTTTAAAACAGGTTATACTATTTCCCTTTCTTGTTACAAATTTTATTAAAAGTTAGAAGAATGCAAATGGAATTTGGTATGCATTGAATACCAATCTAAGAGTTTTAAAACCAATGAAAACTTTGTATACAACTATATATTCAATCAAGGGATGTTTTGATCTAGATTGATGAACAGACTGAGTTGTATACACATTCAATTATGAAAAAAGAAATTTCGGCCACCCCAAAAATAAATAGTCAAAAACTTAGATCACTAAAGTCTTACCCCATGAACCAAATCAGCCACCCCAAATCAATATATCTTCTTAATATCCATTTATATGAAATTCCCCCAAAAAAACCCCATTAGACTACTCAAATACAATATTCAATACTTCTAGGTTTCAAAAATAATAAAATAAAAAAATCAATTTTGCAAAACAAAACCCATTAGCCGTTTAATTCCAAGAGTTACCAGAGCAGAAACTTCATCTTCAATGGCATCACATACAAATTCCCAAACACAAAAGCAAAAACTTCAAATTTAATTAACCCAAAACGAAAATTCGTTGAATACCTTGAAGCGAATTTCGATCAATCAGCTCAAGGAAGGGACATGCAAGATGAAATTGAGACCGCCTGTGCCGCTATCAGCCACCACCGCCTGACTGCCGCTTTCAGCCACCACCGCCGGAGTGCCGCCTTCGTTTTTTCTTTGCTTATTTTCCTCTAAGAATTTTGGAGTATTTTTTTCGTGATTTTCGTCTCAAAATCTATAAGTATTTTTGGAGAATTGAAGCTATAGGATCTGAGAAGATGGGGAAAATGGTACTGTGAAAATGGTGAGAAATTGACAATGGGGAAAATGGAGAAAAAAGGGAATTGAAAGGTACTGTATGTGAGAATTGAGAATAGAGGGAAGCAAATTCTTCCACGTGTTGTTCAAAATATTTGGTGAAAAAAATAGAGGGAAGAAATGCGCGCTTCATTCGTTCTATATTTTTTCACGATACAACACATACCGTTGTAATAGCTCTCATTTTTGTTAAAATAGCTAGGCTATTGCAACGGTTTTTTACAGCCGTGGCAATAGCTATACCTCTAAGAACATTAGTGTTAAATTCGTGGCAATAGCCTACTCGATTGCAACGGAAATTAGAATACCGTTGTATTAGCCTTTATTAGGCCGTTGCATTTGGTCAAAAATGTAGTAGTGTCTAAAATAAATTGCAATTCTTTTTTTTTAATTGGCTAAAATATAACATTTTCCTATGTGACGCTCTAAAATTAATCTTATGTGGCATAATCCTTTTGTAGCTTATTAAAATTATTAATCCTACGTGGCAATTATTTTTATTAAATCCTACCTACCGCTTTAAAAATAAAAAAAATAAAACTAATCTTACGTGGCAAAATCTTATTGTAGCGTTTTAAAAATATTAATCCTAAGTGGCGCTCTAATAGTTTTTTAAATAAAATCTTACGTGGCGCTCTAAAAACTCGGGTATATATATGCGCGGATGGTTGATAAGATTTAGGATAAACTTTTGGCATGAATATCAAATACGGTCATATAATCCCTTTTGATAATTTATATAGAAGGGTAATTTTTGTAGTTTTGTTTCTAAATAGATATCTATGTTATTATTGACTTGAAATTATTTTTATTGAACTTAAATTATTTTTATTGAAGTGAAAGTATTTTTAGCAAACAAAAAACTGATTAGAACTTATTTTTACATATTCTTTATTTTATTGAATAATTAAATATACCTATGTTATTATTAACTTGAAATTATTTTTATTGAATTTAAATTACTTTTACTGAACTGAAAGTATTTTTTACAAATATTCACTATTAATTTTTAAAATAAATTAATGTATTATAAATGAATCTTATTTTAAAGAACTTTTTAAAACGAATTTGATGATGGAAATAGAACCGAGATATAAGATTTTTATTAAAAGTTATGATTAATTTTGTGTATATATATAAAATATTAGAAATATATCGACAATAAAACTCTATACAACAATTTTATCTTAAAAAATCTATCCAAAATTCGCTTATTTAGCATCATATGTGTCACAATAATACCTTGTTTTCGCCAACGTGGCGCGACACTTGGCGAAAAACTAGAATACCAAGTGTCGCTGTCTCGTGGCCTGGCTGCGAGACCGGCTTTATTTATTAGTGATATATGATTATATTTGTTTATAATCTATAATCTCGTGCAATGTATTTCTACTATCAACTTTAAATTGATATAAGATATTTATCGAGACATAGCTAATTTATAATTTGATAGTGTTTAATCTTATAGATTTGCATAAAAATACAATTAAAATTTTATCCATTTAGGAAATCAGAATAATCCTTAATGAAAGACAATCCTATTAAATAGTCAGTATGAAGTGATTTTTCTTTTTCCTTAAAAGAAAAGGTAAACAGGAAGTTAGAATAGTTTTCTCTCAAAGTCTAATTGTAAAATCCTTATACTTAGGGGCCGTTTGGTTGGGGGTATTTAACAAAAAGAATGGGAATTGACGGGAATCATTCCCTTTGTTGTTGTTTGTTAGGCCACTTTTCCATTTCCCCTTTCCCCCTTCATTCCCCCAAATCCCTCCAAGTTCATTCCCCACCCCCCCCCCCCAAGGTATTTCCATTCCATTCCTTGGCCACCACCACACCACCATACCACCACCCTCCTACCTACACACATCACCAAAAAACTGCACCACCGCCTACCCTTCGTCGCACCTCCTCCACCCCTCGCCGGCCATCCCCTCAACTCCACCACCCCTCGTCGGCCATCCCCTCAACTCCCTCGAAAAAATTCCCTAATCTCGGCCATCCCCACATCTCACTAGTCATCGCCCCTCCCTAACCCTTCGCCGCCCCTTGAAACTACCTTCCCTCCCTGGAAAACCTTCCCCACACCCACGCATAGCCCTTGAAAACACCCCCCCTCTCCTCGAAAAGGCCACCCCAACCCTAGAAACCCTTCTAAGTCGACCACCGTGTAGTTGGAGGGGTTAGGTCTGAGGGGCGAGGGGTTAGGGATGGGCGGCGAGGGGTAGGGATGGGGGTTAGGGTTCTGTCCAGCCACCACAACCTTCGAAAACGCGGTGAGGGTGTGTGGGTGTGGTGGTGGTGAATCTAGTGATTCCCATTGTTTTTTTACAACCAAACAACATACTACATTTGAGGGATTTTCATTCTATTCCATTTCATTCCCTTTGTTCATTCCATTCTGTTTACCCCGTGCAAACCAAACGACCCCTTAGTGTGATGTTAGAAATACCTAAAATAAAAATCTAAAATTTATTTAAATGCTTTCTATATGTACTCTCATATTCAATTGTTATTTTCAGTGTTCGTGAGTGAATTCATTTTTATTCGACATATGTAGATTGGTGATAAAAAATAAAAAATAAAAAAAATAAAAAATAAAAAAAAGCCTAAGTAAGGCATACTCCCTCTACATCTGACTAACTTCCGTAAACTATAACATATATCTTTTCACAAGATATTTTCCAGAATATGATCACAAATTCACAATATAATATCACAATAATATCTTTTTATTTCATCCTATCTTAATACTAGTCCTAGTATAAGAAAATATTTATATATGTATGTACTTCGTAAGTTTTTGTAACATGAAATAATTTTTGTAACATAACACGTCTTTGCAGGTTGAAAATTAAAGAAAATGGGCTCAACCGTGTTTGGAACTCCAGTTACCACGGCAACCTTGAGAGCGATGCCTGAATATCAAGGCAAGAACTCGATCACCCAGCAAGACCGAGCAAAGGTTGCACTAGAAAAGGTGAACGCCGAGGGCAAAGCCGTGGATGCTCGACACTACGTGGAGAAGCTGCAGTGTCGATTTGGGGACGATGTTGTGAGCATAATGTGTCTGATCTACAATGCGACTGGACTGGAAGGGACGTGTTTGCTAGTCTGCGTACCCGGTGATCATTGCGAATGGGCAGTGGGGTGCGTTCTTGCACGGTCAATACTATAACCAGGAAAAGAGTTCAAGAGCCGGCATTGTATACTCTGCCTTCAACAATCAAGGCAAGGAGCAACACTGGTTCATGGGATTTTCTAACACTTTTTCAAGCCCCACCAATCAGGTATATAGTTTTTTACTATCATATACTAGTATAGTATTTACTTCATATTATTGACATAATTTGTCTAAGTGTAATATTAATGAACAATTGAACAACTCGATCACATATTCACATGCTCAGCTAAAACGTACCAAATACATGCAAGCTAGTTTGTTAAATATAAGTACGGGTACTCAGAGCATAATCTTTAATCTTTAGCCTTATTTTTCTCGCTTTTTGGCTTGCATAACGGACTATGTATACACCAATTGACTTATTTGGCTAGTGATTTGTTTTTTTTTTTTTTTTTTTTTTTGACGGTATTTGGCTAGTGATTTTACAATGGAAATTGAATCCTCTTGTAACGTTGAAGATTTTGTTATAGGTGTATACTGAAATTCGCGAAGCAGGGCACTATGAGCAGGCAGAGAGGGTAGGAATATGGCAAGCTCTTGACAACAAGCTGAGTAAGGGGAAATTGGTGAATAAGGCCTGCGAAGAAGGGGGATACATAAGTGGCTCCATTGGCAACACTTCAAAACCCATATTCGAGGTGATTATGACTCTGCCTAAACCTAAATAAATTGTGTATGCTGCACTATTGCATATCACATTATCACCTAAGTAATGACTACTTCTGCTACAATGCATACTTGAAGCTTTGGGATCAAACAAGGCCTTTTTTTTATTCAGTTTGTTTGTTGGTTTTTATGCTGATGTTTCTGTCATATATATAACTCACCTATGAGCTGGGTTTTCCTTCCTGTACCATATAATTAAAATTTCCTTTCTTTTGGTTTGATATATGCAATTGCTGTAATCCTGTATAAAAAATAATCTGACATCTATTAGAAGTATTACGACAATCAAACCCTGCTAAAGGCATCAAAATGACTTCTTTTTATGTAAAAAAACACAACTTCGTTTACTACTCTTTACCTATTATATCAGTATACTATATTCTTCGAGATAAAAGTTTAATTTGCACACATTTCAACCTTGGAGACGCTCCAAAGCATTGAGATATAGCGCTACATAATTTCCTTCTGTGTAATCCCCAACATATGTAATATTCATGTAACACATCATGAGAAATAATTGGTAATTGCTCGCAAAAAGGAAAGATGATTTATCGCCAGATATGCTTTAACCCTAGACACCATCACCAGAGACAACCCCATGGCATATTAAACAACAGATTTATAAGCTGATTCTGACCTGCATTTAGAGCAATTATAGCTTTTGATGTTATTATCCGGAGTTGTTCTAAGGCAGATACCATGGAACAACTTCCTGCAAACATTGCAGACGACCCGGACGGCAGAACATGTCTGAATACATGTCCACTCCAGAATACACCAATGGTTTAGGGTTTAAGAAGGGCAGTACGTTTCGCCATAAAGGCTCAAAGATTTCTGCTAATACAAATTACAACAAGAGGGATTTGTATGTTTAAATTTAAGTCAACAATTAACAACCTATGTTACAACTCTTAGCAACAACCGAGCAATAAATAATATTGTACTAGTATTAAAGTCGATCTCTCAAAAGGAAAACTAAAGAATTCCAAGTTTGATCAGCGACACTGGATTACATATATACGTTAGATGTTTCTATTGTAATCATCCTTATAATGACTACCAATATACTTAATTTTCATTATAAGGCTGTTGCAAACTTGCAATAGACCATCCCTTAAAATCTAATTCTATCGGAACTGAGCTGTGTGGAAGGTACTCCCAATTTTTTAAAGTATAAAGTACCTCACTTCTCAAAAACGGTCGTTTTTATCAATGCTCCATTTTCAAATTTAGAAACCCAACTTACATTTTATATGGAGTATAATTTTCTCTTTTTCTTGTAACCTCACTATTATTTTATAACATTATTTCCTTTCACATTATATCTATTGATTCCCTATTTTAATTTCTCTCTCTTACTTTTTAAAATTGTTTATTACTAACCATACTCATTTATATACGTAATATTACTTTACTCTTTTGCCTAAAACTCTATATGCACCTCAAAAGAACACTTTATATAACAACGGAGGGAGTAAGGGATAAAGGAGAACCATACTCTAGTGCCATCTGTTTGACTTTTTCAATGCAAAGATAATAAAATTACTTTCCAAAAAAAACAGGTGGATAAAATCAAAATCGGGTAAAATAAGTCAGATTGGGCTAATTCATTTCTCAATTTGTCACGGCCTAACCATATAAACCGGAGAAAAGGATCATTTGACCAGATTTCAACTTTTTAAATGAAAAAAAAATCAGAGCTTAGGGTTTTTCACAAAATAGCAAAAATGTCGGATCTTCCGACGCCATTGATATCCAAAATACTCTCAAAATTACCAGTCAAATCCCTTCTACGCTTCCGTTGCGTATCCAAATCATGGAAAACCCTAATCGACAGTCCATATTTTATCAAAATTCATCTCCAAAATTCCCAGAAAAACACCACTAATCATTCAATCATCTTCCGAGATTGTTATCTCTATTCTGTGGAATTTCCTGCGCTTAATCAAGCCATTGTCATCAACCACCCATTGAAATGTGATCATTACGGTACTGAAATTGTGGGTTCTTGCAATGGATTGCTTTGTTTGTCGAATGGGGAAGAAGATGGTTTGGATGGTACCATTATATACAACCCGGCGACGAAGGAACACCGGCAATTTCCCGTTTCGCCTATCGAATTCCCGAATGATATCCTTCCGAGTATTGAGCGGTTAGTATATGGGTTAGGTTATGATCATGTTCATGATGATTATAAATTGGTTAGGGTTATTCAATTCTATTGTGGTGACCCGGATTTTTTCGATAGCGAAGTGAAGGTTTATAGCTTAAAGGAAAATTCTTGGAGAAGGATTAAGGATTTTCCTAAGGAATATTACCTTTCTTATAAAAGGGTATGGGGGGTTTATGTTAATGGGTGTTTACATTGGGTGGTGACTGGTGAGCAAGAACCCCGAATCGAATGGTTCTAAATACATCGTGGCGTTCGATTTGGGTTCGGAGAAGCTTAGGTTTGTGCCGAAGCCTAAGCCATTGTGTGGTGAGTGTCATATCAATGTGGAAGTATTCCGCGGGTGCTTGGGTTTGTTGTGCAATCATTTTCCTATTAGGAGTAATTTTTGGATTATGGAGCAGTATGGAGTGCAGAGTTCTTGGACAAAGTTGTTTTCGTTTGATCAACAGGGGAGTGTTTTAGGTTCGTTTGAGTATGTGAGGCCTATAGCTTGGTCGAAGGATGGTTCGAGTGTGTTGCTTGATAAAGACATGACTAGCTTGTTTTGGTATAATTTGAGGACTAAAAGAGCCAAGAGAGTGAATGTTACTGATATGCCAGATTCAATCGAGGCGCAAATGATAGTGGAAAGTCTTGTTCCTCTGAAGAGGTATATGTAGCCACATTGAATTTTTTGTGTAGCCTTTTATGTTTATCTTGAATAATGTATGTTGCTTGAGATTGATTACTGTAATTGCTTTTCATGTTTGCTACATGTTTATATTTATTTAAATTGTTAGCTGACTTAATCATGGTGTATTGTTGATAACTAATTGTCATTGAGATTGGTTTCAAATTTAGCAATATTTAAGCAGACTAGATGGATCTCCACAATTTCAAATTATTCCTTATTCTGTCTATTTGTGTAACCATAGCTTAGGTCCTAGGAGTTAAGATTGTAAAGTTATTATGTTATTATTGATTAATCTGCAGCACACCCAAAAAATTATTGTCAACTCTGATGCAATGGTTTGGTTTAGTAGGATAATAGGAAGTAGGAATTATTTGTGGATCTGAGTGTTAAGTGTTCGTCTTCTTGAAGTTAGCCCTTCACAGCTGTCTACTCTGGGCTATATCCAGCTTTCTATTTTAAATTAGGCGTCATTAAAGTTTGCCGACATGTTGCTGATAAAAGTTTTTATTTTTCATGAATGAATGTTTTCGGATACATTAGCCTGCACTATGGTAGTTTAATATAGGTTCAAGATATTAATAACAAACAGGAAATATGAGTTAAGGGACATTCTTAGCTAATTGGTGTAGACATATCCATTGTTGATGTCTTAGAGCCATGCTTGCTAGTTGCTATACAAGTTGTTTTCTTGATGTTTAACGGGAAATTAATTAAGTTCCTTAAGTATTTATAGATTAAGTAGACAAAAGAAAAAATGTTCTTTTATTTGTTTTTTTTTTTATGGAAAACTACTATTTTCTTTTTGGTAGTGCCATTCTTTGCAAGCTCATCCTGACTACACGTTTTTCATTTTAATGCCAAATGAACAATCTTGTTTCTAGTTTGTTTGAGAAATAAAAGTGATCAATCGACTTGTGTTAAAAAAAATTCAGCATCATCTTTTTTTCTTTTTGTGGATGATCACACGGAATAATCAAATTTGGTTCATGTAAGCCGACCCCACTTATGGGATTAAGGCTTTGATTGATTGATTGATCTTTTTTTCTTTTTTCAGTTTACTTCCTTAGCTATATGTAGTTATGTACCTCAGTAATGATGCTGAAGCTTTGGTTTTATCAATTATTTAATTAATTGGTGACCTTTGTCTATTACTATTATGTTGATGTGTTGCAGAAATGAGCAATCGGGACAGGCCAATAGTCAGTTATCATCACTACCATTAACTTTGCTACTTGATATATTCTCTCGTCTTCCTGCGGAGACTCTTTTGCAGCTTACATATGTTTGCAAGGAATGGAATAGTCTTATTAATGACCCCGAGTTTGCTAAAATGCATCTTAAAGATGCTGGAAAAAGAAACGACAACTTGTACTTCATTCTTAGAAGGGAGATGCTACATTTGATTGATTTTAACCTGCTAAATAAAGCAGTACAGATCAATCATCCCCTAGTGTGCGCTAAGGGATGGACTGATGTCTTAGGGTCATGTAATGGTTTGCTCTGTTTATATAATGAAGATGAAGACCTCGCTATCTGGAATCCATTAACTGGAAGATGTCACAAAATACCCATTACAAAGTACCAGTCTACAGAGGGTTCCAATGGCTTCACCACTTTCATCCATGGATTTGGCTATGCTCCTATTAATGATGATTACAAGGTTGTTCGGATCTTGGAGATGTACTCGTACAACAACAATCGGCGTCATGACTACTTTGATGATTATATTTCTGATTCTGATAGTGATACTTCTGCCTCTGAAGTCCAAGTTTACAGTTTGAAAGCCAAATGCTGGAAAAGTATCAAATCTTTCCCTTTGAGCCTATGTTATCCTTGTTCAGGGGTCCTTGCAAATGGAGCATTACATTGGGTTGCGAATAAAAATCATGATTCGGATAATATTTATGAAAGTATTCTGTCCTTTGATCTTGGGTTAGAAGAATGCAGAGTAGTGCCACAACCTAATTATGATGACATATATTTCCACAGGACTTTATGGGTATTAGGAGGCTCTCTTTGCATAATTTGCCAATACCCTAGACGTGGTGTCGATATATGGGTGATGAAGGATTATGAGATGAATACTTGGAGCAAACTTATTTCCATTACTCAGCCAAAACCTATAAGGACCTTTGAGTATATCAAGCCATTGGCATATTCAAAGAATTGTACTGAAGTTCTACTGGATCTTGACTATAAAAAGCTTGTTTGGTTTAACATGAAAAAAAAGACAATCAGGCATGTCAGTATCATTGGCCTGCCGGAGTCATTTGATTCAGAGGTTTTTACTACAAGCCTTATTGATCCTAACAACCTGATTCCAAGGCAATTGAAGGTATTGGGTCAATCCATCTATTCCTTTGCAGCCTTTCCTAAGAAGTTGGTTTCTCATATCCTTCGCTATCTCCCTGTTAAGACCCTTCTGCAGGCTCAGTATGTCAGCAAAACATGGTACAAGATCATTAATGACCCAGAGTTTATTAAGATGCAGCTTGAAGTGTCTAGCAATTCCAACAGTAGCTCGTTGCTCATTTTTAGTGGGGAAAAACTTCTTTCTTTAGATTATCAACTGTTTGATAAAGCTGTTGAGATTGATCACCCAAGTGTTGGAAAATCAACTGATGTTGTGGGCTCTTCGAATGGATTGGTCTGCTTATACAAGGATGGAGATATTGCTTTATTGAATCCATGGACTGGAAAATATGAGAGCTTACTTTCTTCTAACTTCCAGTTCCATGCTTCTAGCGCTTTGCAGTGTTGGTTGATTCATGGATTTGGCTATGATCCCAGTAGTGATGACTACAAAGTAGTCTGTATTTTGCAGCTGCACAATAGTTTGAGTGGTGGTAGTGTTCACTCTGAAATTCAAGCTTATAGCCTGAGAACCAAGTGTTGGGGAAAGATTAAACAGTTTCCATACATCATTTGTCATCCATGCTCGGGTGTTCTTGCTAGTGGCGCGTTGCACTGGGTGGCACATCAAAATCCTGAATTGTACAGCACCTCAAAATTGCTTATAGCTCTTGATATTGGATCTGAGAAATGCAGGGTGGTGACACAGCCAAGTTATGTTGATACAGATTTTCACTTGAGTTTGGGATCATTAAAAGGGTGTCTTAGCTTGCTATGTCATTACCCTCGACAAAGTGTAGACATCTGGTTAATGACTGAATATGGAACAGAGTCATGGACAAAACTTTTCACCATTTCACAGCCAAAAATAATCAAAAACTTTAAGTACCTGAAGCCGTTGGGATATTCAAACAACGGGGCTGAAGTTCTGTTGGAACAAGATAATGAAAAGCTTCTCTGGTTCAACTTGGTGAAAAAGAAAGTCAGATACCTCAATGTCCGAGGTCTACCAAAGTCTTTTGAGACAGTGATGTGCTCTGGAAGTCTTGTTCAGATTGGTAACCCTCCTAGAATTTTCCATGAGAAGCATGAGCAAGCACTGAGCAAATCTCAGAATGGCCAGGATAAAGTGAGGTACAACTTCTATCATCTCCCTGCTTTAGAAACACTGAACTTATTCGTCAATCTTATAATCAAATGTAAAAGCTCTTGTACCCCTTTTCATTGAAATATGACTATGTTGGTTTTTTTCAGGAAAAATATGGATGGTTTTTTATCTAAGGGATTCAAGTTGAAGCTTTGAAAAAAGAAAGATACCAAGGTTAGAGTTTTAATTCGGTCCTGTTCTAAAGAAAATAAGTTTTACTTTGCTCTCCATCGTCTCAACTCTCAAATTACTGTGCTGGAATAGGTGTATATTTTTCTTTTGCCAATCTTGCTTCTGTTATGTCTTTGACATTACATTCCTTGATGTCCAGTTAATTGCGCCTCATGCATGATTCTGCTTTCTGTTGTTCTGCAGGATAGCTGCTAAATTCAAGAAAGTTTTCTGAAGAATTGGAAGGAATGAACAATATGTTCTCTAAAAAAAAACTACAATCTTTTTTCTTTTTAGGTTTTGAACAAGAACTTTGTTAAAATAAGTAGACTTCCAAACTAGGCGGCATTGAACTTTTCACATGTGATGTGCATGTGATATGCCATCTCCTTTTTGCTTGAATATTGGATACTTTTTTTTGTTTTTTAATTGATTCCAAGAATAATTTAGGTTATTATGCTCATGTTTTTCTCGTTCTTTGGTTGATTGAATTTCCTGATTTTTACTAACAAATTCGCAGCATGTCTTGCTGCCTTGCTAAATTGTTGCACCTGTTTGTGTTAACATAAGCCCTGAAATTAATTTCTTGCTATGCTTATGAATGTACTTCGTACTATACAGCAGATTTAATCTTATGCATAGCATAAGCATTTGCAACTAGCAATGTTATTAGCTTATGTTCAATGAGGAGTATATTACTCATAAGTTATAAATGGTGATATTTTAAAAAAATAAAAATAAATAATAATAAATAAAAATAAAAAATGCTTATGAAAGTTAAAGGGTATCGGGATGACGGGATGAGTTGGTTTGTATATATAAAAAAAAAAAAAAAAAAAAAACTATTGTGATGAATTAGTCGGGTGAAATTATGTATGGTATCTGACAAAATATATTGTGGACAAGTTCAGATTGAGTTGTTCTTGGTTTGGGTGGAGTTAAGACTTAAGAGCGGATCAAAATTAGATTTTGGTCATATAGAGTCAAACATCTTCTAATTGACTATAACACTGTGTCACTGTGTAAATATGAAACTCATTCATTAGTATTAAGGGTCTGTTCTGTTCAGCTTAATTTCATTTCAGTTCAGCTTCAATCAGTTCAGTTCAGTTCATTTTCTAATTTCCTTCTCTCATAAATAATTCATTTCAGCTCTATTCAGTTCAGTTCAGTCCCAATCAGTTTAGTTCAGTTTAATTGTTTACAGTAAATCGAAACAGACCCTAAGTCTATAATGAATTAGGTTGATTTAGGTCAAGTCAATTACCTCACTAGTTGAATTTTGGTTTTGGAATTAAATGAGTTGAGTCAATTACATGTTAGATCGGGTTTTATTCTAAAAAAGGATCTCAGATACTCTCGTCTCAAACCATATGGTTGGATAATTTTATAGGTCCTTTTTGAATGACTAACTATATATGGGTTCAATTGAATCTAGTCATGATCTACTTTAGACAATAGTCCCAAAATTTAATTTAAACATAATCAGTTTTTATATATATAAGATTTACTATGAAAAATTAGCTAAAATGGACGGGGCACTTAAGCTTGAATGAGTTCAACAAAACCAAATTTAAGGGAATGAACCTTACTACACCAAGAATTTTTATTATATTATCAATGGATATAGACTTTGATTCCATTGGGATTTTTTTTTTTTTTTCTTTCTTTGTCATATTGTGTTATTATCGCACAATTAAGATAATATGATTTACTAAGCACAAAAACTAATAAAATAAAAATTATAGTGACTAATACTTTGCACTAGTTGTTAAATGAGAGTATAAATTAACTCTACCATGACTTAAAACCGAGTTGTAAACTAAGTTGTCCAACATTCGCATTGAATTTAATTATAACATTGCTTTTATTGGTTAGAATAAACGGCTATTTCACCAAATGTCACTGTGCACTTTAATAATTAACCAAATGCCATCGGGTTTTCAAAATTCACCAAATGCCACTGACAAACAGTATAATGTCATATCATGCCATTAATGAGGTCTGCCCGTTAGTTCTCCGTTAATGTGAATTGACGATTTTGCCCTTATTGTGTTTAATGGCGTCATAAAGCCTTTTGACTCCCTAAATTGACCTAATAACTTAAATAATTAAAAGTTGAGGAGTCAAAGTCTTCATCCTCTCACCCTTCACTGTTCTTCATGCAAAGTCTTCATCAGTCAACCCTGCAATTCGATCAAGGTGGAAGCTTTTTCTAAGTCTAAATTTTGATCAGCAATCGGTAGTAACTGCGCTTGTATTTTGGGGAACTGAAGTCGTTGTTCGCAAGGAGGGGGAGCAGTGGTAGTCAATCGAAGCTTGAAAAGTGTTGTTACACTTCCAAACTAGCACGCAAGGTTACACTTTGTCCATCGATCTTCAATTCAATTCGAGTACCGTTTTGCTAATTTTTCCTGATAATCGAATTAGGGTTAGGGAATGGTTGGTTGAGTTAAATGTTGTGATGTTAAGTTTGAAATCATGTTATTTTACTTAATTATGGGTTTGACTGTAGCAAATGTGTTTTTTTGTATGTTAGGGTTACACTTTTCTGTGATTTTGATTCATTAAAATGAGATTTTGTGAAGTGTTAGAATATTATGTTGTTTGGCATGTGTGTGTGTGGATGTGTATTGTGTGTGTGTTGAGTAACTTGGTAATTTTTGTTGATAGGATGAGTAAATTAAAGTGTGGCTGAATGTCCATTGTAGAGATGGTGGTTTTGATGTGTTGGTTGATGATACAAACCGGACTAGTTTAATGGTTTTTTTTGAGTTTACGTTTGAGGACTCTATCAAGCAAAATATGTGGCTCCCTAAGTACCTTGCTTTGCTTGTTAACAAACCTAGAACTAATAGAAAACTGGAGTTATGTGTTGATGGTGATATGTTGAAAATGTGGGAGTGTAATGTGGGTAAGGAAATAATAGATGTATGGTTGGAGGAAAGGGAAAGTCCTGGTTTGGTGTTTAAGGATGCTGAAGCTAGTTGGCATAAAAGGTTAAAATAGAAAGCTGAGAGGGATAGGTTAGACATGAAAAAAAAAGAGGTTAGCTGAAGAAGAGGAAGCTCATAGGGAGCTTGATGATTAACAACCTTACACTGTTGCTGTAGAGGTTCCTGTGGTTGTTGCTGAGGACACATGAGTTGAGTATGTTAGAGTGTTTCCCACTCCAGTGGTTGATAAGGTTTTCCCAGGCCCATCCCAGCCTCAGGCAAAATAAAGTTCTCAGCCAAAAAATGGTTCCCATGCATCAACTCCACCAAAACATTCTCAACCCACATCTCCTCTTAACCAGCCCAGAACAAAAACTGTTAGGAAGAAAATGACACCTAGGAAAAGGAAAACTACAGCCAAAACACCACCTCCTACTGATGCATCTGTCAGAACCCAAAACCCTCTCCAATTCCAGCAACAGCCCCACCACATACACCACAACCTTCTCCAAACACAACAACATCCCCACCACCAACACCACAACCCTCTCCAAACCAAGAAACATCCCCACCACCAACACCACAACCTTCTACAACCCAAGCAACACCCCCACCCCAAACAGTACCACCTTCTACTATAATATCATCTTCTAGTGCAGAACCTACAAATGCCTGTCCATAAACCTAAGAAGGGGGGTAGATCTAGACCCTCATGTTGACATGTTCACATGTGCAATGCAAGCTCTTCAAACACCAAGAAGAAAGCAAAGAAAGCTGCATGAACACCAAACCCCTCTCCTTTTGAATGCACAACAAAATTGTTTATGGAATATAGTTTTTGAAAATTAATAGTCAACTGTGTGCTGTGTTATTGTGTTTTTTTGGACATGTTCTCTGTAATTTTTTGGGGATGTGATGTGAACAGGAAACCAAATTTTTGGTGCACATGATTGAAACAGGAAGAATTAAGCTTAAATGAATGTTCAATTTACCACTTTATTCAATTTCATTGCAATTACAATATAGTTCACTTCATCATTACAATAACAACTATTACACACATCACTACACCTAATTTCATAACAGAATTGAGAACATTTTGATGCTGCTTCAATTGCTTCAATTCATCATGCAAATTACTATCTCCCGACCCATCCTTATCATAACAGCTTCCCCTACTTTGATCTTCTTCTGGCTTGAAAACTTTGCACCATTTGAAGCTATTACAGTATTACATGAGTCACACTTGTAATAAAGCCTTTGTGGATTAGATGTTGACTCCGAGCTTCTAATTGCATATTTTCTACCACAATTGCAAAATTTGTTTGGAACTCTTACATATGCATACTCATGTATTGAGGAGGATGTGTTTAATATCAAACTCATGATTATGCAAATAAAGGGCTGCTATGTGTATTCTTAATGTCACATTTATACAAGAAATTGGGTGTAACGGCTTGTTTACCCCAAAAAAATTCAAAAAATGGAGAAACTAACTAGCCGTTATAACTCATTAGTTTAGAGGTATATTGTGTAATAATTTACATAAGTAATGGTATTTCATGAAAATTTTAAATTAGTTAGTGGCATTTGATGAATTAAGAATCCCAGTAACGGAGAACTAACGGGCATACCTCATTAATGGCATGACATGACATTATACTGTTTGTCAGTGACATTTGGTGAATTTTGAAAACCCCGATGACATTTGGTGAATTATTAAAGTGTTTAGTGGCATTTGATGAAATAGCCGTAGATTAAATTCACAACTTTCATTCTCGAATTTAAAAATTACAAATTTACAATTCTAAGATCGGATTGGTAAGTTCTTCATAGAACCCAAAATCAAGCTCTCGTCTTGATAACGAATACTTCAGAAATCTTGTTTGTCATTCAATTGATAATTTTAGGCATTTGGGAAATACATACGCATTATATTTTTCTAAAATTTAGCGACTTTACAATTTACACACTACGGAGTATAGTATTATCTGAACTACTACGTAGTACTTTGTATAAATATTAAACTCGAGCAGTCGAGCTTGACTCACAAACAAGCGAACCAAAATTAAACCAAAATTTAACCCAACCATTCCGAACCATTCACGAGAAGTTAAAATGAGAAATGAAGGCTCACTCACGTCACATTTGCACATTTACCCTCGCTAAATAAGTAGAATCGCCCACATTTGCACCGTCTTCCTCACTCATCAAGTTACCAATTAACCACTCCGTACTATATCTGGTATTAATCTTATAATCTCTCCCCTTTTGATTATTTATTTTTCATATTTTTTGATTTTTTTTTTATTGTTTCCTTTAATTAGCAGAAATGTGGTGAGTAATGAGACCATATTTATTTACTAATTAATGATCTTATCTTTTGATGTATCAACCCATTTAATCAATATTTTCCCCCCTAAAAGATTTGATCTTTACTTAATCTATTACGAAGTATTAGAAATAATTTGTTTTTCTTTGATATGATCAGATATAATTGTGCTTAAATTGTCCTGCATGTTTTGAGATTAGTAAGTTATTGTTTATTTAGTTGAATTGCTTGCTAATTGCTATGCATTTCCTCTTTTCTTGCCGGAATTGTGGATTCTTATTGACTGTTTTGTTTTCGTTTAAATTTTGAATGTGTGCCTTGAAAGAATGAATGGCGGGATGAATTGAAATTCGAGTGTTAGGGTTTTAGAGATGTTTGGTGCATTTACTATGTTATTACTCAAAGCAATATCGACTAGGGTTTTCGAGTTTTTTTATTCCCGCATTTTCAAGTTTTTGAGATGTTTGGTTATCTATGATGTTATCAGATTGTTTGGAAATTTTACACTTTGCTGTATATGCTTATTCTTCCAGTTAAGCTTTTGCTTTGGTGGGTGAAGCTCTGCATTTTCGGGTTTTAGTTGTTATCTATGTTGCCATCTGATTGTTTAGAAATTTAACATTATCTTAGGCTGTATTTGCTTATATTTCAGTTGAGCTCTTGCTTTGGTGGGTGAAGTTAAGTGAAAATTATGGATTTTCCATTGATATTGATCATGGATATACTGTCTAGACTTCCAGTCAAGTCTCTTTTATGCTATCGTTGTGTATCTAAATCATGGAAGTATTTAATCGACAACCCTTATTTCATTAAGCTCCAACTGCAGTACTCCTTGGAAAATACCACTAATCTTGTCTTGATCATAAGAGGTGGTTATCTTTACTCGGCACACTTCCCTGGACTCAATGAGGCTATTGTGATAGACCATTCTTTGAAATGTGGATATATTGGAACTGAGGTTTTGGGTTCTTGCAATGGGCTGTTGTGTTTGTCAAATGGGGAAAGTCATGGTAAAAATGGTACAATTATCTATAATCCAGTAACCAGAAAGTCCCGGGAAGTGCCTGCTTCGAAACTTAAAATCCCCTATGGATATGAGTCCGTGATATATGGCTTTGGTTATGACCTTGTTAATGATGATTATAAGGTGGTTAGGGTTATTCAGTATTCTACTGAGCATCCTGACTTTTATGATAGTGAAGTCAAGGTTTTTAGTTTGAAGGCAAACTCTTGGAGAAGGATTCGGGACTTTCCTCGTGAATATTACCTTTCTTACAAAAGGGGATGGGGGGTTTATGTCAGTGGCTGTTTACATTGGATGATAACCTTGAAGCCTGACTCAAATGGGTCCAAATTGATTGTTGCATTTGATTTAAGTTCGGAAGTTTGTAAGGCTGTGTTACTTCCTAAGATTTCAGCTGGTGAAGTTCATTTGACTGTCGAAGTCTTGGGTCAGTTCTTATCTCTCCTAGTCAATTATCCCTCCAATCGGAGTGAAGTGTGGGTCTTGAAAGAGTATGGTGTAGTGGAATCTTGGTCTAAGTTGTTCACAGTTTCACAGCCAGATAGTATTGGACCTTTTGAATATGTGAGGCCTATTGCTTACTCAAAGGACGGATCTAAAGTGCTCCTTGAACAAGACCTTCAAAAGCTTATTTGGTATGATGTGGAAAGTCAAAGTGCTGCAGATGTGAAAATCCCTGGTATGCCATCACATCCAGGAGCAACAATGTTGGTTGAAAGCCTTGTACTTGGTAGTCGTAAGACACACATGAAAAAGCAGTATAGATATTACTCTCCTTTTTCTTTTGCTTGCATGTATGTTGTTTAGAATCCTGTTTCTATTGAATGTGTGTGTATGTGGCCCGTGTGGGCACATATATGCTCTTCTGTTGAATATATGTTAGTTGTTGGTTATTCCAATATATGTATTAGTTTTCTATCAAGGTGCCATTAAATGTCTTAAGTCTATCCTATAGGCATGTAATATTAGTAGTATCTAGATGTTTCATTTCATTAGAATGAATAAAATTTCAAGCTTGAGGTAGGTGATGTTTTGAAACCATGTTTTGTTAGATGGACTGTCCTATAGTCTTCAAGTCTTTAGGGGCATGGTTTTTTTCCTCCTTTCTAATAAGGTAATAGAAATGAAACATTCAGTTGAGGCTTAATTTATTCACCCAAGTCTAGTTTGTGTAGAAATTTGATCATGAAAACATTTCTTATTAACTGTTCCTTGTAAAATTCCTTTAATTAAGCAAGTAGTCTAAGAGGAAGCTTTTCTTATGCTTTAGCTAAGTTACATAACCAATAAGTTCATCCACATAAATTTCTTACTCTATTGTTTTCATTGCAAACTCTTTTATGCAATTCTGGGAAGAAATTTTTTGATGCTTTAACAAATTTCTTCATGGTGCCCTCTGCACACCAAGAACATATATATCTCCTATTCTAGTTTTTTTTTTTTTTCCAAAGACATAGGAAGTATGAAAGTATGAAAGTATTGTGTGTGTTGATTGTTGAACACCTACTTTTTGTTTTTGTGAATTCTCTGGGAAATACTCACTACCTCCGTTTTTTTAGTTAACATGTTTTGACTTTAGCACTATTCACACACTTCCCTTTGACCGTATTTTGTGCTTTATACATTATGAAAGATATTATCATGTGGGATTTTGTTAGATTCGTCACATAATATATTTTCAAAATATCAACTTTTCATAATTTTTGTTTATCGGTAATCAATGATATTAATGGTTGAATCTGTGCATTGTCAAACGTGATTAAAAAAACGTGTCAATAAAAAGAAACGGATGAAGTAGTAAGGTGATATCATTTCTTTAATGCATACTTTTCTAACTTTTCTGCCTTTTTCTTTCTCGACATAACATATTCATACAAGTCATATCTTTTAATCCTGTTAAATTTTCAAGATTCTGAATATTTTGGTGTCTTCATTCAATATCTTTTTTTCCAATATGTAGTAAGGAGAGAGAGCAACTAAGGAGTGTTAACATTGCTGGCCTGCCAAATTCGTTTGAGAAAGTCTGAAATTCTTGAGATGGATCAGCAAGCAATTTGTGGAAAGTATTATCTGAGAAAGAAGGGTCAGAAGTAAGATCCTAAAATCTTGGTGTGTTTGTTTGTTTTCACAATTGCTGATTTTATTAATCGTTTCTTCACTATGCATGTGTACCTGCTTTGTGAGTATCCATTATGTACCTTTTTTTTTCTCCTTTTCATCTAAATGTGTATGAGATATCACTAGTCGTTGTTGGTCTTTAGTCGAGTTTCCTTTCCAAGCACTTTAAACAAGGGTTTGTGAAAGTTTCTTCTCTGTCTTCCTAGTTTGTCTATTTATTTATTTATTTTTTCCAAATTGCTTATGTTGAAATATGAAGAAATTGAATTTGTTTTTTATTTTTAGCCCTAGGCCGAGATTTTTGGATTTGTTTTCGCTGATTGGATTTCTTTCTTTTTCTGATGCAGGCTTGATTTGATGCCGAAGAAAAACATTAAATCTGGAATCATTCCTGATAAGCTACTTTCTTTGATATGAGACCATATATATTTACAAATTAAAGATCTTATCTTTTGATATAATCCATTTAATCAATATTTTCACCCCTTAAAGATTTGATCTTTACTTTGTCTATTATTAGAAATACTACGTAATTTGCTTTCCTTTGATATGATCAGATCAGATATAGTTATGCCTAAATTGTCCTACAAGTTTTGATATTTGTAAGTTATTGTTTATTTATTTGAATTGCTTGCTAATTGCTATGCATTTCCTCTTTTCTTGCGGAATTGCGGATTCTGATTGACTATTTTGTTGTGGTTAAGCTTCGTTTCAATTTTAAATGTGTGCCTTGAAAAGAATGAATGGCGGGATATATTGTCATTGTATTTTGCTCATACAAACATGTGGAAATTGTAAGTAGAGAGATGCAATAGAGAGGGGGGTAAGAACAACATTTTATGTATGCAATGCATTGACAATCATACTACATAACAACGTATATAAATATATAGTACTGTAAGTAGGCCTGGTTATTGGGTAGGGTTACCCAATGGCAAAAGGGTCGGGCCTAATATTAAAGGGTTTTGACCCTTTAATTTTTTTTATGGACATGGCTTTTATAGGGTCTTATTTTATAGGGCTTTTATAGGGTCTTATTTTATAGCCCAATAATTTAAAAATTAAAATAAAAAGCCCAATAATAATGGTAAGGGTCAACCAACCCACACTTCCATTTTCTCTCTCTTCTCCTCTATTCTTTCGCCCACCTTTCTCTCTCCTCCATTGAAGCGCACTCAGAGTTCTCCAGAGTCTAGAACATTCCGAGAAGAAGCCTCATACATTGTCTTCTTGGTTGAAGTCAGAGCTTCCTGTTATCAAAGAGGTTTGTTATCATGGCCTTCTTCTGCGCCTTCTTCTCGAGGTACTCCACTATCTCTTCCTCCGAAACCTTCTTCTTCCTCCGGTCGTCGAAATCTTCGTTTTCGGCGGCGGCTGTTGCTTCGCCGGCGGTGTCTAGTGCGGTCGCGGGAGGAGTCCGAGTCATAGTCGGATTCGGAATGTGACTCGGCCAAATCGAATCGGAATCGTCATCGTCGTATTTTCTGGAAATTTCTAAACAAAGAAAAAAATGATTGAAAAAACTACTAGTATCCTTTTTTTTTTTTGGATTGTCATGAATTGTAAGAAATGTTTAGCAGATTAATTGTTTGAGATTAGTTAGTTTGTTTGATGTAATATTAGTTGGTTAGAATGGAATTTTTTTGCTTTTTTCTATATTTTTTTCTTCTTAATTTTCAATTTGATTTTAAGGAGAAGTTTGTTTATGCAGATGAAAAGTATGTGGGTAAAGGCCCGTTAATGGTCCATTTCACTTTTACCTCGACCCTGAACCGACCCTGACCCAACTCTGACCCACTAAATATTCATCATGACCCGCAACTGACCCACCCCGCTAATGACCCGCACCGACCCACACTGACCCTTCCAATAACCACCCCTAACTGTAAGTAAGAAAGTAATCCCACGATCATTAGATCATGCCTAACAATAATTCACTAAACCCACTACTCTTATGAATCCACTAAAACAAATTAATTACCTACATAGGATTTAATGTGTCAAAATTATATAATGTCAAGACATCCTACCTCCGCTCCTGAAGTTCGACTCACTTACTATTCATGTGGTCAAAATAAAATAAATTTGACCACATGTTATGATTTATATAATACAAATAAATTAGCGTGAGTGATCTTATTAAATTTCCCTTATTATAAAGTTTTCAAATATCAACTTTTTATAAGTTTCACTTATATATAGCCGACGATATTTATGGTCAAAAATGTTCATTGGAGATCACTCAAATATAAAGTGAGTTGAACTTTGGGAGTATATAAATATATAATTATAACCTACTGTATTTCGTATGTTCTTTTATTGTTATAGTTTCATACGTCTACTAGCTTTCGCTTAGAATATAAAACACTAATTACCTTAAAACCAACCATTATACCCCTTTCTGATCGAGCACATGGAAAGGGAATGTGAGAGGGTATAATATTGCTCTGAATTAGGCTGTCAAAAATGGCAGAATTTGGTCTATTAGTATTCTGCTACGGGAATAAATGCCCAATTTTGAGATGTATGCACAAATTAATTATTTATCGTTAATTAGATTTACTTTATTGTTGAATATGCAATTTCGTCAACTCTAGGATTTAGAAATTAGTAATAAGAAAAACGTGTTTCCTTTAGTTGTAATCCTATCCGACAATCTGACCTTGTTGCCATTTTTTATAGTTTGAATAATCAATTTTCAAGGTTTGATTGTTGTATTAATGTTCTTTAAGTAGAAATTTCATTTTTTTTGTTTTTTCTCATACAAACCCTATATATTGTCCTATTTAATTTACAAAATTATGAACCCTTTATGGCTTTATTTGTATATGTTGATGTATTACAGTACGGATCGGAGCTAGATCGACTACAATAATGTCATCAATAGTGTTGGCCAACCAAATTAGCTTGCAATATATTACACATATTATTTAAGGAAATCCTCGCGATCCTAATGTTGATGATATAATCGTAATCTAAGAAAGAATAACCAGAAGTAATTAAGATCTTGATGTTTTATGTGTTGTTTCCAACTAGTGTTGACTCTTTGTAGCCAACTTGTGATGTGTCCTTGGTCTGTGAGTAACTTGGTATTCATAGACCTTTTTGTTCTGTGACTTCTGTCTATCATCTAAACATATTGGATGATCTTGTAGTCATTTTTTTTATGTCGAATCATTGAGTTTCATACCCATGAAGTTTAACGATGTCTTTGAAACGTCGACTGCGTTAATTGGGTGACAATTATGTCGTGTTAAAGTATAATGTCTTTGAAATGAGAGATGATAATAGAAAAATAAAGAAAGATACTCATGTGATTAAAAAAAATTTAAAAAAAAAAACATGTGCAAATAAATAAGAATTTGTTACAATAGATTTGGATTATAAAACTTACATGCATAAAAGGGAAATATGTAATATCACAATATTTAAACTCTAGGTAGGGTGAGGGATAGCTCAAGTGGTTAGAACTTCCTTCTCGATTTCAGGAGATCCTGAGATCGATTCTCACCCCGCCTTTGTGGCTCTCTAAACACCAAAAAAAACAATATTCAAACACTAGGTAGTACGTACAAAAGATAGGAAGATACCAAAGTCAAAATCAGGGGTACTTAATAAGTTTAACTACTTTCCCTTTGGATTATTAGCCATAACATAAGTATGATAAGTACTAAGATCACCATATAAGTTAGGCTAGCAAGGTGTGGAGGTTTACATATTTAGTGATCGAAGGATATGTACACTTTAATTAGACTATTTATAGACTCCACTAATATATAGGCTCCACTATTATGCAAGGTTTGTGACATGAAAATTTTGGTTTCATATATAAAAGAAATTTTTGAATATATACGGTTTATAATTTAATTTATATCAAATACATAATGTCCATCAAATATTGGGTTAATTTTCTTGTTGTAGTCTTGATTCATCCCAATGAATTAAGAATTAGTAATTTGAACTGAATGAGACAAAATATATTAATTGTTTGATTCTCCATTAATTAATCTATATGTTTGCCTAAGCAATTTAGATTACGGTAAATTTATTTATTTATTTTGAAATTATCTTAATCACTAGTAGATTCTTTGTGTCTGATATATGTATGTTAATTGTTTGCTAATTTTGAACCATGCACATTGCAATTAATGGCAAGGCAATGCTAGGCCGCTAACTATCTGATGTGAATTTATAATTGTGTATGGTAAGAAGCTAGGTATTAGGAGATTTATCATCTCAAAAAAAGCAATTAGATCCTCTACTATCATTAAAAAATTTGGAAATTTCGAGTAAGTCATGTCGTAAATACTAGAACTATCATAACTTATGTAACTGAGTAAAAATAAATGTACTTGCTATGCATAAATGAAGGTCATCACAATTGCAAGGATAGTCTTATGGCAATGATAAATTTCGTTTATCTTTCCTTAATTCACTGAGCAATGTATATTACTTAATTTTTTTCCATGCATATTTACTTTTTTTCTCTTGTACATTGATCCACATATATGCAATCAATTCAAGAGTTTGTAAATATATGGAACGTTAAGTATTTTTACACTAACTAGTTTTAAGTTATAGTAAGAAATAAGTGCATGTTTTGCATTGACCGACACTATTGTATTCCAACATTTTGAAATGAACTTAAGGCTGAGAATGAATCACTGGACTTAAAAGTGCAATTCTATTGATTGAAATCTATAAATTTCAAAGAGCAAATTAATAAGGAGCATTCATTTTGCAAACTATAGTATTGTACTATAATACTTCATGACTGTTGGAGTTTAAGTGGCCTCCGAAGTCTATCTCTATAATATTAGTTTATATAATACTTCATGACTGTTGGAGTTTAAGTGGCCTCCGAAGTCTATCTCTATATCAAATATTAATTAGTTTAAGTGGCCTCCGAAGTCTATCCTAAATCAAATATTAATTAGTTTATATTTTAGGGGGATAACTAATCTGATAATTATTCTATTGAGAGTGGTTTAAATTATACATAAATCTTAAGTGATAAGGACTCCCAATATTTATTATATCACATCTGTTATAATTAGATAAACGTACAGTTTCACAAGGAAAATATTCCACAAAAACTAAGAGCATCTTCCATTAGAGTCATTGTCTTAGACTTTGGGTTTTTTATGACAGCTATTGAGGACTCATCTAGTAGCCTTCCTGGTGCTGTTCGTAAGACGAATTCTAAGTCATATATATCTTTTGCTGAAGAGGTAAGTATCCTAGCTTACCCAATTGTTTTATACATGCATTATTTCCTTTTAGACAGTTAATTTTACTATTTCTCTAAGAAAGTAAACCATGTTGCATAATAATATTGCTCTCCAAAATTAATTAGTGAAGGATTTTTCGGAAAATGGGTGAGATTGCACATTATTAACAATTCAATAAAATCAACATTGCCTAATTATAAAACAAAGTCATTGAATATTATTCTTTGTGGAGTATGTGATTGTAAGTGTATCAATGGAAACTGTCTTAATTAAACCTTATATTAGTCATATTTTCTATAAGTACATTTCACAAAGGATACTCGCTATATTTATAGGCTTTAATTAATCTAGCATAGGCTAGGAGATCGATGAATTTCTTGTGACAAGAAAAACATGAAGCTATAAACCTTCAACATCTTGTTGGAATGTCATGTGCTGTGTGAACATATATAAAGTCAAAGGAAGTTGAAACGACCATAGAATTGTAGCAAAAGATATCACATAGTCGATCGGATAGTCCTTATTTTCATGTTCATGCGTCATTTTGATTATTCCTTAATTTCATGTTTACACACATAATTAATCATATTTAAGGAACCATATACTATTGGTTTCTTAGTTTGGTTTTATTGTAATGTGAAATATTGTGAACTAAGTTACTAGAACATCATATATATTCAACAAATTTTTGTAAGAAAATAACATTGGAATAAGTTTATATAGTGAATGTTATTTATCCTCGAGGAAAAAAAAATACTATTATGTAACATACTCTGATAAGAGTATTAAAGTATCATCAATGATCAAACTTGTGGTTTGACAAATAAAAACCCTACTTGTTGCAATTATTAATAGAGCGAGAGATAATTCAGAATATATATAGTAAGTAATACAGCAGCTCATAAAAAAGAATATGTAGATACAAGTTTTCCAAAGAGGTAGTTTGTTTTTGTTTTTTAAATTTATGATCGAAAACTCAAATTTCTCAATGATTTGAAAATCTTGGGCTAAATCCCAAAAAATCTGTAACTGAAAAATTGATAGTGGAGGAGACCAGAAAAAACTAACATGATTCAAAAAATTTCCAATCCTAGCAGGAACAGGAAGGAAACAGATACTCAATTTAAAGTGAGTAAACTAGAGTCCACAGTTTCTTTCTTTATTTTCGCAGGAATAGGAAGCAAACAGATACTCAATTTAAAGTGAGTAAACTAAAGTCCACACAACATTGCTCTGTTAGGCTTTCGCCCAGCCAAAAATTCTGTTATTTCAACTACATCAAATGATCTTCCAAATTGGTCAATGATAGTGACAATTACAGTGATAGTTATATTTTTAATGAAAGTGGAAATATATACATGCAAAAGTTTAAGACATCATCTTGCTGCTTATGTAGAATTAGTTGATAATACACAACGAGAAATAGAATTGGCTAATCCAAAGGTCACGAAACTCTTAATCCTTAACCAAATTAACCTATAGATATATCGTAGCTAAAATTGATTCAGGTCATATCCCATAATAAGCTAGCTAGCTAGCTAATTAATTTGAGAAAGAAAAAATCAAAGTTACACAACGAAATAACCCTAACCTTAATTAGATCCAACTTGGATAATGGATCCAGCCCGATCCAAGCCCAAATTTTTACACAAATTTGCCACCACTAAATGTAAGAATATTTTGAGAAGTCATCACAAGATATGTGATATGACTAGGATATATGTGAGCAAATCAAAATCTTGAAATTATATGGAAGGAAATAATTTTTACACAAATTTATTATTTGGTTCACACATACTACAATATCATGATGATTCCATATCATAAATGTAACAATTAAGAATATTAAGATTACATCCACCTCACAAGTTTACTTAGCTATAAATACAAGACTTTTGTTTTTTTCTAGACCATGTATCACATACACAATCTTTATTTTAAAGGTTTTTGCTACAAAATGTTTGAGTGAAGTGAGGTGAGGTGAGAGCAATAATGGATGATGAAGAAGAGAAAGAAGGAAAAATAAAGCTTGTATCTGATGCTCTTAGTACCGATTATGCATCAAATCAGTATATTACTAGAAATTACTTCATTTTCCTTTAAATTGCTTCTGTGCCAGAATTTCTCTAAACTAGGTACTCTCTCCATCCCACAAAGTTATTAAGATTTTCCTATTATTCTATCCATGCAAATTTAAGATTATGATTCATTTTTTTTTTTTTTGGAAATTTATATACAAATAATTAGGTTTTTCTTTGATGTGGGTGGTTGATTTGGCTACTAAATTCTTTTTTAACCAAAAAAAATCCTTGTTATTCATGCAATTCTTTTGTTGGATATGTACGAAAAGGAGAAGACTCATCCTATGAACATTTCATAAGTGACGAGTTTTCATCCTAAAAATAATTTTTCATGTGACACAACACATATACTCATCATGTACTGATGTACATTTACACTATAGAATAAATCTTTAAAGATGTACCATGCTTTGAGATTGGCTTTCCAGATTTTCATAAATTGGTTTTATACACCCCACAACTATCCAACACTGGTCTATTTCCCTTTATTGCGACTAGTAAAATGTGGAGCAATAAAGAGAGCGGAGGTCCAGGCCTCCCGCTTTGGCGTATGCCATTAAGTTTATCTGTAATTACTCGTACTTTATTTTCAATGTTTAATATCATTCAAAATTTATAATTGTTTTTTTAATACATATTCATGATTGATTTATCTAGTACAAATAAATTAATTATGTGTGTGAATGCAGGCTGCAAATTACATGGATATCGAGTTTGCTGGATTTAACTGTCAATGTGTTGCTAATATGATCAAGGGAAAGACACCCAAGGAGATAAGAAAGCAATTCAACATCAAGAATGATTTCTCACCTGAAGAAGAGGAGGAATTTCAGTGGGCTTTCGTGTAATCTGAATTAGCAATCGACTAAACTGTTTAGAACAACTCTACCATTTACCAGTCTGAATAGGGAGAGCAGTGAAGGATAATTAGCAGTCTTATTAATTGTACTACCTCCGTTTGTTTATCATTAGTGTCATTGATCTAACATAGGTGAAGGACTGAAGGTTTGATTTCTTTCTCAACGAAAACACGAAGCAATAACAAATGTAGAGAGTCATTGATAGCTAAACATAACGCAGAATTATATTAAAAGTTCATGTATTAATGTGATTGTTACTTAATTTGATGTTAATACACATACTGAATTATATGTAGCATATTGTAATTTTCCTAGTTTGGTTGACCTTATAATGTGAAGCAATGTATACTAAGGTTAAACATCACATTGAGCGATATTGTAAAGAATAATGACAAAGGCGAAGTAATATTTTGTGTGTGTGATACTTTTTTATTTTTTTTGAAGAATTCGTGTGTGTGATACTTGTTTAGATTAAAACATTATTATTACGTAAATATTGACAGAACAATAAAAAGTATATGAAAGTGAAGGATAGCTCAAGTGAATAGAGTTTCCTTTCCGATTTCAGTGGATTTTGGGATCAATTCTCATCACTCGTCTTTGTGGTTCTCTAAACACACACACAAAAAAAAAAAAAAAAAAAAAAAATTAAAAATAATTAAAAAGTATATAAAATGATTAAACTTGTGGGTTATACAAGTTTTAAGAAGGTTTTTTTAAAATGATCTCAAACTTCTCAACGATCACAAAGACTTCTGCTAAATTTGGAAAATTCTTTGTATGTAACCCAAAGATTGAGATCAGAGAGGATGTAATCTTAGAAAAACTTTTCTAGGTCTAATTTTACAACCTCTCCAAGAAATCCTAATAGGGTGTGTCTGCAAATCATAATAATAAAATTATGGAAAGAAATAATTGTTGCAAAAATCTCACATATACTATTGTATCTGGACGATTTTATTTTATAAATATAACAACCATATCATGATTACATACCCCCAATTCACAGCTTCATTAGGCTATAAATACAAGCTTTAAGGTCTACATGAGACTAGGTATCTAAAAAGATTTCAAACATCTCTAGCACATAAGACTAGTAGTTCTAAAAAGCGAAGAGCAAAGTACCCGCGTTGAGCATTAGTGCATGAGGATTGCTAAACATCGCCTACAAATTACCAACTAAAGCCCACAAATTTCCATTGAATTGATAGTATTGCCCTTGACAAAAAAAAAACACTCTCTCATCACCCAAATTAAAAATCTCACCCACTTTCATTCTACGTTTTTTTTAAAAAAAATTCAAAGTACGGCAATGTCGAGGCGACAAGGCAAGGAATTAGTGGCGGCGGCGGCAGAGGGAAGGAGGTCTCACGGTGGAAAGGTAGGTTTTTTTCCATTAAAAAAAAAATTAAAAACCGTCGTGTGGTGGTGGCGGCGCATGGAGAGGACGCCACGGCGGTGGTGGTGGCGCCAGAAGCAGACGTCGGAACCACGACCATGGCGTCTGGGTTGGACGCAGCCGCCACGGGTCTGGCGTCTGGATCTGGCGCCGCCACCACCGGCGTGGCGTGAAACCCATGCGCCCCCCCCCCCCTTTTTGTTTTTTTTTTTTAAAATCAGTTTTTTTTTTTTTTTTTTTATGAAAATCAGAAAAAAAAAAATTTGAAAATCGGAAAAAAAAATTTGTTTTTTGTTTTTTTAAGTAATCTTTTTTTAAATTAGAATTATTTTTTTTTGGTTTTTTGTTTTTTAAGGGTTTTTTTTAAAATCAGATTTTCTTTATTTTGTTTATTTTTTTTGAAAATCATAATTTTTTTTATTTTTGTTTTTTTCAGTAATTTTTTTTTTGAAATTAAAATTTTGTTTGTGTTTTATGTTTTTTTTAAATTTTTTTCAATTTTGTTGTATTTTTTTTACGTTTATACTTCCTTTACATTTCTTTGTATGTTTGTTTTGTATATTTTTTTTTTTATATTTGTTATTGCAATTTGTTAGTATGTTTTTCTGTTTAGTTGATATATTTTCGTTTAGTTTATTTTTTTTAATTTTTCTTTTATGTTTATATAAATTTTGTATGTGTTGGTTTTTTTTTCTTTGTTTGTGTATATCTTATTCTGTAATTTATTTTAAGTGTTCTGTTAATTTCTTTTTTAGGTTACTTTGCTAGTATTTTTTTAGTTCATTTGATTTAGTTTTTGGTAGTTATTTTTCTTATAATTTTTTTAATGTGTATACATTTTATAATTTTTTGAAGGTGTCGCATTTTCGCCATGGTGCGGGGAAAAATCTAGACCTTATTAGAAGTGGAAACTACTCGGTGGAGAGCTCGGGGCCCAAACATCTTAGATCCCGTGGTATTTCGGCCTCGGCTCGTAGAGAACGGGTTCACCATCGGGATGAGGATGAAGATGATGATGATGATGAGGAAGAGGAGGAGGTCGCATATGAGGATGTGGACACGATGGGAGTGAACCATATGATGATTACGGTCCATTCAGTCATAGGCTAGATGGCATGTACGAGACGCATAGGGTAGATGTGCGTAAGGGTTGGGATGGTAGGTTTGTGAGTAGATCTGGCACATCATCTGCGTCCACCGTGTCTGAAGCAAGCAGAAAACGGTCGAGGGCCGTTAATGATTCTTGGGTGGTTAAGGGTGCGGTGCCTGGGGGGCCTGTAGACGGGAGTGTGATTCCTAGCTTTCTAGGACACATAGCTACCCGTATTTGAGAGGACCAGGAGAGGGGTTTGGTGACGGGCATTTTGAAATGCCAAACTTGGGAAAAGACTTGTAGCGTTTTGAGTAGATGGGCTAAGGCTTGGCCGGTGGAGAGCGAGATGTTCGACCGACTATAGGGCTTTGGGGCGAATCACCTTCCTGCCACCATGCACGATAAGATTGATTGGACGCTGATCACGACTTTCGTTGAGCGATGGCAGCCGGATATGAACTCTTTCCACCTTCCATTCGGTGAGATGACGATCATGTTGCATGACGTCGAGGCCATTCTTGGGATTCGCGCAGAGGGTAAACGCCTTTTTGTTGTGACTGATGCGGATCATGCAGATTTGCTAACGGAGCTGTTGGCGGTGGATAGGGCTGCGCTGTACATCGGGGCGCTTGGTGTCTGGGACCACGACGGTGTGAAGATCGCATCCGTTTGCAGCGTTGTTTGCACCCCGGTGCTCGTAGGACGCACGATGCACAGCTAGCTGCTTATGTTTTTCTTCTCCTCGGGTGTACCTTGTTTCCGGATAAGAGCGGAAACAAGCTTAGGCCACGCGACATAGTTGATGCGTGTGAGCCCGACAGTGTTGGTCAGTTTTCTTGGGGGTCAGCTACGTTGGCGTATCTGTATCGACAATTAGGATTTTCGAGTCGGGCTGACGCGGCAGGTATCACTGGATGTCTGACTTTATTGCAAACCTGGATATACGAGTATTTTCCTGCATTTCGACCACACCGTGACCCGGTTCCTATTGGTGATGGGATGCCCCGTGCCTGTGCGTGGAGTCCGCGGTTGGAGAAGAAGTCCGTTGACCGCCTCCGATCGATACGGTTATTGCTTGATAGGATGTCCCCCTTAGAGTTAAAGTGTATAAATTATTTCTAAATTTGTACTGTAATGCATTTATAATATGAATCTTACTAATTTGAAAAATTTTGTGCAGGTGAACTAGATGCCTTTCGACCAGAACCCTAGTAAATAGGGTACCCAGGACCCTCTACACGGGACTCATACAGTATCGTGAGATCGTGGAGGCGTACATGCCCCAGCGCTGTCTTCGCCAGCTTGGATTCGTCCAAGTTGTCCCTCTTCCACCGGCATGGACGAGTAAGGTGGTTCGATCTGCATCGTCGAAGGAGTACATCGTCCAGTGGTCGGATAGCATGATTGCCACGTGGGAGCAGTTCCCGATGGTTGCCCGCTTATGGACTGCGGAGCTGTAGAGGCCGCCTACTGGGGTGCCTCCCATGTGTGACCAGCACTACATGGAATGGTGCAAGCGGTATTCGCACCCGAGGTTGATTAGAGACCTCGCTCATGGCGACAACGCCGCTGATCATGATATGCCACCGCGAACTGCCGTAGATGCGGTATGTCTGAACAAAAATTTATAGTTGCGTTTTTTTATAGTTTTATATATCGTTATTCAATTTCATGTTTTATTTGTTGTTGTGTGTAGTGGATGGGAAAGATAATGCAAGGCGTGCAAAAACTTTCCCTAGAGAAGGACAACATGAGTACAGCAGGGAGAGTTGTTGTTGATGAGTTGGAACAGACCCTTGCGCATTGGGAGTCGGCGGCAAAGAGGGATTACTGATGTTTTTGGCATTTTGTTTATTGAACATTTTTTACATTATCATATTAGTTTGTGAAGTAAGACATTATCTTTGTAGTTTTCAGAAATTTAATACAATCATTTTAGTTTTTAACATTTAAAATTATCGTTTTAGTTTTTAACATTTGAAATTATCGTTTTAGTTTTTAACATTTGAAATTATCATTTTATTATATAACATTTGACATTATCTTTTTACATAGAAATAGTGTACCAATGAAAAACTAAAAAGCTGCTAGGGTGTTCCATTGATGGATCCGGTCATGATACAACGCACCAATAACGAGCGTCCGCCATAATGGATGAACCCTGATCAACATGTAACGACGTCCTATCTTGGATAATTTTGCGGTGAATGGTGCATGCGCAAGGTAATCCATGAGTTACTGATGTAGCACATCCACACCGAACATCAACTTCATTCGCCAACTCCCTCATCTTGTTGTGCTCAATCAGAATCAACCCCAAGCAGTAGTGTGACACACGCCCATGTAGAATCTTAAATATGAAATGGCTATACATCATACCATGTCGCCGCCTAGAGTCCTCTAGAGAGTTCTTGATGCTGTTATTCTGAGTTTCAATTGCCTTGTTTATTCCCTCGAACAGTGTATCCAAAGCAGCGGTGGAAGAATCAGTCCAGT